TGGTGGCATTACATTCTCATAGGTGCGTGAACCCTACTGTAAACTGCACATGTGAGGGATCTAGGTTGTACCCTCCTTATGAGAATCTAATGCCTGGTGATCTGAGGTGGAGCTGAGGCAGTGATGCTAGCTCTGGGGAGGGGCTGCAAATACAGATTATCATTAGCACAGAGGTTTGACTGCACAGAGACCATAATAAATCAATTGCTTGCGGACTCATATCAAAGCCCTATCAGTTAGTGGCAAGTAACAATGTAATAATAATAGAAATAAAGTGAACAATAAATGTAATGCACTTGAATCAACCTGAAACCATCCACCCCCCTGCTCTGATCTGTGGAAAAATTGTCTTCCATGAAACTGGTCCCTGGTACCAAAAAGGTTGGGGACCGCTGCTTCAAAACCTTGAGAGCTCTTACCCATTTTAAGCCCATGTATTATGGTAGGATGACTGAGAAAAGCAAGTTATTCTCTGTCATTTCCTCTCTTGTTCTATCTCATGGTGTTTCACTCATTTAAAAAAGTAGTTAAAACTGTTGGTATATAAGGGAAATAATTTATCAAGGTGAGTGTGACAGGTCTTAGATTTTTATAGCAGCCCTTTTCATTTAGGGAAGAATACATTAGTAAGTAAAATGATAAGGAGAAAAGAAAGAAGGAAAGTCATCTAATTCTTAAGAAAAGTCCTTTGAAGATAATTCAAAAATTAAAAAGAAGTTTGCTGTTTCCCATACTTTACAACTCTTGATTTCTCTACTTCACATAAATTTAAAACCCTTCCAATATCATAAAATGTTTAAAACCTATCCTCCCCAACAGATAATGCTTTATCTTCTAATTCTAAGTCTCTTTTAGAGAGTTTGATTTGATTTGGACAGTATTTTCCATTTGTAATGTTTAAACACTGGTCCAAACAGAGTATTTGGTCATATTGACAAAGAAATATGAGGCAAAGGGATGAAATTGAAGATTCCTGGTGATTGGAGATAGAGTGGGCATTTGGAAACAGTCTCAAGTACAAGGCTGCCTGGGCCACATTCTGTCTGTTTTTAGTCAGGGAAGGTTATTGTCAATTCATAGATTTAGAAGTGGACTCCAAGGGCTGTCTAGTGCTTTCCTTTGTTAAAAGCAAAGTATCTAGAGCACGTGATTTTCTGTTCTTCCAGAACTCAGTGCCACTGATGGATATGACAGTGTACAGTGGTTGGTGAGTGCCCAACTCTGGAACTTTGCCAAGAAGTTTTATACCACCGTGATGGTGGGTCAGCTGTGCAGGGTGTAAATCGTTTCTCAATACAACTATGAAATGATTTGTCTAAGGAAATACAGTTTTAATCTCCATTTGTTGCTCTGTCCAGTGTGCTCTCATCTTTACAGATAAGAGGTTTCAATTTTGCCCACGTGTGTCTGTCCGATGCAGTTTAAGCTGCCTCTCTCTTCCTGTGCGCAGCTGCCCAGCACACTCAGCGTCTGACCCTCAAGTCCTTCCCCACACCGATCCCACCTGTTCGGGATTTCCTTTTGGCATTTTGGACATAGATATGTGATTATGAGAGTCTGTGTCGACTTCTTGGTGTTACAGATATCTCTTTGAATGTATTTCACTTTTCTGGTTTTGTTAATACGTTTCCATGACCTTATTTATCAAAAATGACTGGCACATTCTAATGCTTAATAAGCCAGCTCTTTACATGCATACGTGGGCTCCCTGAGATGTGGTTAATCACTTCTTGAGTCTGCATTAATAGAGGGATAGATGTTAAGGATTTATTTTTTTACTGTTAGATGCATTTGTATCTCCAATAGTTCATTTTTAAATGTGAAAAACAAACAAGGATTTGTTTCCATTGCTTTTACAGTCATCTCCCCTTATCCATGGGAGATATAGTCTAAGACCCAGTGGATGCCTGAAATCTCAAGTAGTACCAAACTTTACACGTTATGTTTTTTCCTATGCATACCTACCTATGATCAAGTTTGATTTAGAAAGTGGACACAGTAAGAGATTAACGACGATGACTAATAATATAGAACTATAGCAATATGCCAACATAACAATTTTTCTGTTTCGTGCAGAAGTCATAATAGTAACTTAAATGACTTACCAAGTAAAGCTTTTTGAATTTATCATTATGATTGAGGAATCTGCCAGAGGCAAGATCATGGGACATAGAAGCAAAAAGCAATGTATTTGGCATATTAAGGTGAACAAAGAACCTTGAGTTAAAGGGAAGACAGTCAAAAATATTTTCCTTTTTGCTTTTAGATTCCCGTAACCAACGTCAAATAGTGGGCGGGGGGGGCGGGGAGCCAGCCATTTTATAAATTCAGATGCTCCTCTGCAGCAAAACTATTTTCAGTCAACAAGAAAGCATAACTCTGTTCTTCCTGCAGGCCCGGCCAGTGGATTACCCTAAGGACTACCTTTCTCATCAAGTTCCCATATCGTTCCACAAACACTGGAACATCGATCCAGTGAAGGTATATTTCACGTGGTTGGCTCCCAGCGAGGAAGACAAAGCCGGACAGGAGACACAAAAGGGTTTTAGAGAAGAATTATAAGTCACAGGGGCCTCCGAGCACAGTTTGGGCAGGAAACAGAGCTGGAGACTGTGACATCGTCCCGCTGTGCTGTGCTCACACTGCTCGTGTCGGCTGCGTGGCATCGGACGCTTTCTGACTTTAGGTGGAAATTCTGTGTATGGTATGTTTTCATGGGGGAAGAAAAGGAGTCAAGAGGAAACAGATTTTTTTTTTCTGGGAAAAATCATTTGCTTTTGACTTATGCAGTTGTTGTGCCACATAGTGATTACTGTGCATTTTTCAAGCTGTGATACAGCAGTATTATTACCCTCACAGGAAAATAAATGGTGCCAGAAGTCCTTCTCCTGTTCGCGCTCTTCATTGTAACGGAAGGTTCAGCTGGGCGTGAGCCTGGAGAGATGTGACTGTCTATTCTGTACGCATATAAAGAAGAGTGAACGTCTTTGACATGGATATTGCCGATGGGATGAACTTTTAAACCACATTATTGATGATGAAAATTATTTCCTGGGAACTCAGTACAAATAATGCTTTGTTGAGGATCATTCATAAAACATCATGAGGGGCTAGATATGAAATCCCCTGTAGTCTATAATCATGGTTATGTTTTATCTATTCTTTTGCTGTTTGTGCCCCATAAAAGAGAATAAGAGATCTTCTGCTAGAGCTTCCTATTTCTTTAGAAGTTCGTCTGTGTTCTGTTTCTCCCTGAAGCCCATCTTTATGGCCTACTTGTAACATGAAAGTGTAGTGGATGCTGCCAGAAAATAGTGGCCTCAATATTTTAAAGCAACGTTGACATGATTTATTCAACTCAGCAAGCTCTATGTGAGTCTCGAGAAGTGAATTAAATCTTGGCCTGGTGTTTTACTCTGGTTCTTCTTTGAATGTTACCTGATGACTCTCTCCTGACTCAGAGTGGACTCCCTCAGTGCGCTGTGAAACCCGTGAGGAAGGACAACATGGAGATTTGGCAATTTCTCTGGGTTCTTAGAGAATGAAATTTGAACATAGTATTTTGAAACAGTTCTAATTTTCAAATTATATCTTTAATATATAGTAATTTAACACATTCAGTATTAATGTATAAAAAGTACTCTGTATTTTTATTATGTTTTTAATTATGTGACTCAGTTTTATAGATGTATTTGCATACAATTTAATTTTAATGTTTTAAACTAATTTTGGTAGTTTCCTATCTTTATTAAAAGCACTATTCATTAACTTTGTTTATAATACTTTTTATAGCCAAGCACAGAGTTAAAAGCCATACCACCAAAAGTACCTGTGTGGGTTGCCCAAGTGCAGTGGTGTTTACAACTAATTGATCACAACCAGTTACAGATTCCTTTGTTCCTTCTCCACTCCCACTGCTCCACTTGACCAGCCTTTAAAAAAAAAAAAAAAAAAGTACCTGTGTGGTTTTTAGTAACATATTTTTTTTGCAGCTTAGAAGACTCTTTTGCAAAATGATGCAGTAGGATTTACCATCTTTCCAAATCAGCAACTACCAGGACAGGTGTGTTGCCGTGACAATGGAATCCACTGGATTAAGTTTTGTGAAAATGGATCTTGTGGCCCATCCTAGGAATGGGAGGAGCAGCTGCATGGGAGGCACCAGAAGGATCTCTAGATCCCCCCAGGTTTCTGCGACAGCCTCCGCTTTGCTGCCATCATAGCTGGGGTTGTCGTCATTGCCCCCACGGTAGTCCCCTTCCCGTCATCTGTAATACTACTCTTGGAAGGCCCTGGCTGCCTGCACCTGCGGAAAAGAGTCTTCAGTTCTTCTGCTCCTGCCTACTAATTGCCACCACTCAGAGGACCGCGTGCTCACTCGACGGGGTTGAATCGGCATCAGTATGTGAAGATCCACGTCAGGTTTTCTTCTGTGGTATGATCAGTGCCTTCTACTGACACAGGAGCATGTCCTCTAGTACTTTTAGGTGTTCTGTAAATTATGTTTACTTTTTGGAACTGTGTAAGTCTAATCACGAATAAAAAGATCTTTGCGGCCGGGCGCAGTGGCTCACGCCTGTAATCCTAGCACTCTGGGAGGCCAAGGCAGGCGGATTGTTTGAGCTCAGGAGTTCGAAACAAGCCTGAGCAAGAGCAAGACCCCGTCTCTACTAAAAATAGAAAATAAATTAATCGGCCAACTAAAAAATATATAGAAAAAAATTAGCCGGGCATGGTGGCCCATGCCTGTAATCCCAGCTACTCAGGAGGCTGAGGCAGAAGGATTGCTTGAGCCCAGGAGTGTGAGGTTGCTGTGAGCTAGGCTGACGCCATGGCACTCACTCTAGCCCAGGCAAAAGAGTGAGACTCTGTCTCAAAAAAAAAAAAGATCTTTGCCTAAGTTTGTGATTTCACAAATGTGTTCGCTAGTCCAAACTAGAGCGGAGAGGGGAGGATGGGAAAGGAATGAATGAAATCAGAGGAAAAGGTTGGCAACTCAGTAAATACAGTTTTAAGAGAGAAAAATTAATTAAAAGCTACTGTTTTAAAAGAAAACCAGAAGTTTCGAAGTTGAAATATATTTATACAAAGTTGATAAAGCCATCATGTTTTATTACATAACAAATAGAGATGTTATTTTAGAACCGATTACGATATCTAAAGAACTCAATTTTGAGTCTGACCTTTCCAGGACAGATATTGTTCTATTCCTATATCCTTTGCTCTTAAATAGGGATTTCCTTCCAAATGGCTATTTTTTAGCCTAGGGATGTTAACATCAAGGATTTATGTGTGGAATAACTGGAATGTCATTTTTGCTTTTAAGCCATTTCTGATGACATAGCGAAAGCAGGTTGTCTTTGTAGGATTTTTACATCTTGCAGCTAAATCAGAAATTCAGACACAAAAATAGCCTTTATTGAATGCTTGGGAACGTAAGACAGTAGCACTCCAGGCTACCAGTGATGCCATGCATGGGTACGTAAATATCAGTGCTCTGTCAAAACCTTTGGTGTTCCATATCCACATCCATTATAATTATTTATGCATATCTCCTCAAAAATTAACATAGGTGACATTTGTAAGAATGTTTCCATTGTTTTCTATTTATAATCATAGATGTAATTTCTATGGAATAAACAAATATATCAATAGATTTTCAGCAACTGTTTATTAGACACTCACTATGTGCCAGACATTCCCTTTTCTCTCCTATTCCCCACTCTATCCCTGCTGTCTTTGCAGACCTGGCACATAGTAGGTGCTGTTGTTTCATGTTCCCAAGCATTCCACAAACATGTCACCTGCAAAATGTGTTTTTCTCCAATCTGTAGAATAAAATCAAGGCTTTGTTTCTGGTGCTAATTTAGCTCATGTTTTCACTTTATTCACTTATTTCACAATATTTTGAGGCAAAAGGGGGAACGTTTCATAACTGTAAAAGGGGTAATTTAACAGAAAGACATAACCGTCCTAATTTTGAATGTGTCTAATAACATAGCTTCAAAATACATTCAAAAAAAAAAAAAAACTAAAGGGAGAAGTGGAAAAATTCAGTCATAGCTGGAAATGTTAACACAGTGATTTCAGTAATTTATAGTGCTAGCAGACAAAAATCAGTAGAATTAATAGAACTACTACCAAACTTAGCCTAATTGCCGTTTACAGAATGCCACACTCAACAAGAGCAGAATACACGTTCTTTTTAAGTGCGTATGAAATGTTAACCAACATAGACCACAATAGGCCATATGTTAAAGAATTAAAAACTTTATTATGTAATTAAAAATTTAAAACTTTCTTGCAAAGAAAACTCTAGGCCCAGATGGTTTCATCAGTGATTTTCCTCAGGCATTTAAAGATGAAATAGTGTGTAAGAGTTTATGTTACATAAACTGCTCCAGAACGTAGTGAAAAAGGAAACATTTCCCAGCTGGATTTATGAGACCAGAATTTCCCTGACACCAAAATCTAACAAATAAAAATCACAGGCCAACATCTTTCATGAACATAAAAGACAATGATACTAAACAAAATGATATTCAGCAATATGTAGAAAATACATCTAAAAGGATAGCAAATTGTGACCAAATGGGTTTATCCCAGGGATGCAAAGCTGGTGTAACATTCAAAAATCAAGTAATTCGCCACATTAATAGAATAAAGGAGCAAAGTTGGGTAACTATTTTAATAGCTACTGCAAAAAGAAAAAAGCATTTGATAGAATTCAATAGCCAATCATAATGAATACTCAGAAAACTAGGAAGAATAGGTAAATTCCTGAATATAATAAAGAGTATCTACAAAAAAACCTACAGCTATCATGATACTTTCCACATTGAATTATTTCTCCCCTAAATTTGAGGAAAAGACTGGATATTAACTATCACTACTTCTGTTCAACATTGTTTAGGAGATCCCAGTCAGGGCAAGAAGGCAAAGGAAAGAAATTAAAGAGTAAAATGAAGTAAAACTATATTTACAGATGATTGTATACAAAGAAAATCCAAATTATCTTATAAATGAATATAATAAGATCACTAGATACAAGGCTGTACAAAATGAATTGTGTTTCTACGTAGTAGCAGTGAGCAATTAGAAAATAAAATTAGGAAAACAATGTCATTTAAAATGGCATCAAAAATATGAAATACTAAAGAAGTAGATTTTAAATGTTCTCACCACCAAAAAAAATTATGAGAAGGGTTGGATATGTTAATTATGTTATGTCATATGATTGTGATAAGCATTTCACAATGTGTATATGTATGCAATCATCACATTGTACGTCATGAATATGTACAATTTTTAGGTGTCAAGTATACCTCAAGCTGGAAAAATTATTATCTAGAAATAATATGGTTGCAAGACCTCTGCACTGAAGACTATAAAAGATGGAGAGATATCAAAAAGCAATTTAAAAAGGTTAATCATTTCATGTACTGAAATACTCAAAATTGCTAGAACTACAATGATCTCAAATTGATGTATGGATTCAGGTCCAATCAAAACCTCAAATTTTTTCATGTGTGTAAATATTGAAAAATTGATTATGTATGGAAATGCAAAGGACCTAGAATAGCCAAGCCAATTTTGATGACAAAATTTGAAGATTCACATTAACAGATTTCAAGACTTACACAAATCTATAAATGTTTTATTGGCATGAGGATAGAAATTAGATAAATTGAACAGAATATGGAGTCCATACATATATGATCATTTGATTTAAGACAAAGGCATACATGCAATTCATGCAGGAAATGATCTTTTCAAAAAATGTAGAGAAATTAGATACCCATATGGAACAATATGAAGCAACCATTAACTTTGATGGATTATAGACATCATATTGAATGATTAAGCTATAAAGCATCTAGAACAGTTTTCAACTTGGGGCCTTTGGCCCCAGGAGACATTTGGCAAGGTTTTGGGTTGTCACAACTGGAGAGGAGGTGCTACTGGCATCTGATGGCCAGAGATGCTGTTAAACACCCTGCAATGCACAGGCGAGTGCCCCACGACAAAGAATTATCTAGCCCCAAATGTCAATACCGCCAAGGTTGAGAAACCCTGGTCTGTAAGAAAGCTAGACTAGAAGAGTATCTTCGTGATCTTAGGTAGGCAATGAGTTATTTAAACAGGTCATAAAAAGCACTATCCATAAAATAAGAAATGGATGTTTGATTTTATTTTGAATAAAACCAATTTTTTTCTATCAAAAGGAAAAGGCAAGTTACAGACTGGAGAAGATGTGTATGATACAAACATCTACAAGGACTCTGTGGCAGGTGACTCTAAATAGACCCCGTGATCCCTGACGCCTGGTATTCATGCCCTTATGTCATCCTCTCCCC